AATATGAGCATGATTAATAAACAAAAAGTCCGATAAAATGCAAATTGGTAAAAAAATAAGAAACAAAATTAAAAAGCCTAAAAACAAAAATAATAATAATTAATTAAAATATTATATAACACAGAATTTATTATCCAGATTCGCGTTTATCATGGTCAATTATCTCGTAATCGTGATGGCGGTCATTATTTTCGTAGTCATGATCTTCGGGGAGGCGTTTCCGGGGCGGGTCCTCATTGTCAGCCCCGCCCACCCTTTTGAACGTAACCGTCGGTATAATCACTTGAAACAGACGTTTCTCTATTGTTAACACTATTTTCTTAACGCTATAAATAAATGACAAAAATTGCCATAATCATTTGAAATTAAAAACAATTAACCTATGCCAATTAGTTAACCGTACCTGAGATATAAGCCAACGATCAGCAAAATCATAAACGCTATGACAATCGTGTTAACGATGGACAGTATGTCAACGCTATTACACGTATTCATTATCAACGGACTGACCACAGGCTCTGACGGGTCGTTCATCGGCGGCATCGGCTCATCGGGTGTCAGACAGCTATAGGACTGACCGCTGGGCACACATACGTGTCGACAACTATGACCGGAGCATCGGTTTTTGGCCACAAATCGCCCGTTTGGATCAATTACTTGGAATTCGTATATCTTATCACGTTTTATATCCGTTGGGTTAGTGTTGTAAAACTGGTGGCCATTTTTATCATCAAGGTTTCTATCGTAGCCACTGGTGACGTATAGGAGTTCAGCTTCTGGCACACCCATTGCCGGTTCCCTTATCCGGTATATCACGTGATCTGTGGCTAAATACAGGTCACTATCAAAGACATTCATTCCGAGCACCGCCGACGACAACAACGGTCTCGAAGTCATGTAATAAATCTCGTGTCCGCCCAAGAAGTCCACCGAATACAGGGAACTGTCGGTTATGTCAACAAAATAATACCGTTGCTGTCGGTAGTCAACAGTCAGATGAAACGGTTGTCTGTGTTTAGGATTGGCGTAAATCGCTGTGCGATTAGTGCCGTCCAATGGGGACTCCCATAGCCCGGCGTTGAACCCTATTTCACACCATACGAGTACTTCACTCATGGTGTTTATGCGCAAATCACGCGCAAAACCGGTGTTTAGCTGGAGTATGGTGTAGGTTAGGTGCGGGTAGTTTATGTCCATCATGTTTATGCTGTTGGCCACGCTATCGATCCAATAGATTAGCCCATAATTGGCCAGGTAGGCTATGTTATGTGCTGGGGCGTTTATGTTGGCTCGTCTCTCTATTAGGTCTGTAAGTAATTAAATAATACCGTAATTACTAAATTATGGCGAATGTGTAAACTAAAAGTGTAATTACAATCAATGATTGGGTAGTAATTGTATGAATGATAGGATATGTTGTCAACGGATTGATTGCCGTTTGTAATCACAATAGCATTGGTGGCCGATATTATCAGTGGGGGTCCAATACCTAAAAATTTTAATAATTAATTATTTTATAATATTTGAGAGAGAGAGAGAGAGAGAGAGAGAGAGAGAGAGAGAGAATAAAATAATACTTAAAATTGTTACATTCTACATTACATACTTACATTTCCATAAAAATTTATTCATATTCTGTATTTAGTTATAACAACTTTAACATAATTACTATTTTACAGTCTTATTAAAGTATTGTAGAAATATGTAACAATTAATATAATATTTTTGCTATCTAATTTGCTAAAATAATGCGTAAAAAAGTCATAAACGCATTTAATTTCCCATTGTTAATAATTATCTATATATTATGTATGTGCAATTATTCAATTATATTATGGATAACAAAGTAGTTTATTTACAGTGTTTTAATGATTAAGCAAAAAATGGAGAAATTAAATTGATATTGTTAAGTTGCCATTAATATATTTTTGGGTGTATCAAGTACATAATTAAAACAACTTTGTCTAAATTAATACTTTTACAGTCATATTACCTTATTTAATAAGGCTTATCATATTAATATTTTCATTCATTAAAATAAAAACAATTAATGTTGAAAAATGTCATAATTGTACACAGTTATACCTATAATAAAAATGTATAAAACCCTAATATGCATACAATTTTAGCGAGATTAATTATTTACAGTTTTTAATCATGTGTGTGCGTGAGAGAGAGAGAGAGAGAGAGAGAGAGAGAAAAACAAAACATAGCATTTCTTAATATCAATTATATTAATCACATATATATTTAAATCTGTTATAAAAGAGAGAGAGAGAGAGAGAGAGAGAGAGAGAGAGAGAAATGAAAATTATGATGCCATACATACCCATTAACTTTGATTTATAAGAGATGCTGAAGTGTCGACTAAAACACTGATAGCCAGAAGTGTATTTAATTAATAGCTTATTATCACGTATAATCATATTATCAGGTACAGATTTCCCACTAAAATTGGCCAAAATAGTACTAGTATTTATATCCGGCGGTTGGTGCAAGGTCAAATTGCATATGGCATGGTGGCCATCCATGTTGAAATCATTAAATGATAGATAAATAACCATATTACCTGGTACCAATATATTCCATACACACGTAATATTATCAAAACTATCAGGGTAACCGGGCGAGTATATCACACTTTCATTGCTCGTAAATTCACCACCACAACCTATTTACAAATCATAACAATTTTTAACATTAATTTAATTTAGCTAAAATAATTTTATTTTTATAAATTATCTAAGTAATATTTTAAATAAAATATTTGATAAACTACAATGATAATAATTCGTTCAATTAGTTAAATAATTTATTAAAATTTAATTACCATATTTCACTATTTCATAAGTTATGTTAAAGCCCTTTCGTGGTTGACCCGTATTAAACACCAAATGCAATTGATTTGAGCTTGATATTAGATGACGAGGGTACTTCTTATTACTGTATGCGCCCATTAATGGACTCAAAACCGTCGGCCCGTTGTATACTTTTAGATAATCGCTTTCAAAGGTGTAAAAATCATTAAAACTGAGCTTGATGCTATTGTTATGACTGACAGTTATAGTCCATTCGCACAATTTGTTGACCGGGTATGAGTTGGGATAGTTTGGCGTTGCGATGACACCCTTATCCTGGGCATATGTGCCCCCGCATTCACTGTCATTATCTTGGTAAATAATTAAAAATATTTTTTTATAATGAATTAAATACAGTATTATAACTAATCTGTTATATTTTTTATTATTACTTAAATTGTTTTATAGAATAATAAACTGTAATCTAGTTTATTACAAACTTATTACAAACGAAAATTTTTATAATGTTTAAAAATACTAATAAATTAATCAGTATAAATTGCATATTTATACAAAATTAAAATATCAATCACGGTCAGCTATTCCAAAAATATTACCATATAAATAATCTTTTATACAAAACTAAACTGCTTAACTAATTCATTTACAGTTGATAACTATTGTATGAAGGATTTTAATTAAGTTAAATAGTTATTAAATTAACAATTACTATTTTAATATTAACATTATTCAAATATATAAATTAATATTTCTAAAACATTAAAAACACATAAGAAAATTAATTAATCTAAAATAACAAGTAACTTACTTTGTTCATTTATCACTGGACATACGGCTAGCGATAATAACAACAGTGTTATATAAATCACAGTAAAATTCCAACAAAATATAAAAATATTAA